TCGGTTTCTGGCCATGTCTCTACCTACCTACATATATGTGTAGTTGGTGCGAGTATGTGGAGCAAAAGGTATTAAGACTTGTGCAAAATGAAATATGACATAGTTGACAAAGGAGCGGATGGGAGATGGCATCTATATTACACATTACATATTACACACAGAACGCAAAGCCTGCGGCTGGCATCAGGACTGGTTGAAACAGGAGGATGAGCAGCAGCAGGAGCCGGAGCTGGAGCTGTTGGAGCATCAGGAGCCAAAACCCTTTGGCAAATATTGATGCCAGCAGGGCGTGGGCATATACCGGGGGTAGATCGGTTGTTCACGTGTCCGGTCACCTGCAGCTGATGGCCGACCATAAAGGATTTTCCAACCGAGTGTGGGCGTCACTCACCTTTAAACGTCACAAACGAAAATTCTAATTTTAAAACATAAATTAAAAGGCATTCGGGGAGTCTTAGATTTCAATAGATATTAGATTAAGTTTATTATCTTTCTCAAACAACAAGATATAGTGGCTTTAGGTAGTTTGTTATTATCTGTTATCCAGGGAATAATTAAATTTTTAGTAATGGTTTTTCAGAGTTTCAAAAAGCGGTTTAATCTAAAAATAGAAATTATCATCAGTTTTGTAGTTTCACAAAAACCAACTTTAATTATAACCTAAGTGCCTTAAAATCACACATCAGTGGAGTTTTATCCCCAGTGGCTCTTTGAGTTCCCAGGAGATTAAAAAAAATAAATCATAAATAGCCGAAATTTTTCGGTTTTGGTCTGATTTGTGATATTTTTAAGCTGCCGGGCTTAAAGCTCCCAGGAGATGTTCCATTATTTCATAGTGATTTATTGAAATTTCCACAAAATATGAGAAAAGAAATCCATGATCCTGAAACAAGATAGCATGTATTCAGTAAATACGATTATATAAAAGAAAGAAAGACCTGTCTTTCCGTATAGTAGTCTCTCTACTGCTCACCTTTTTTAAACCAATAACCGTAGGATGTGCTTCCGTCGGAAGCATTCCATTTGGGCCATATGCATAAGCCAGAACTCAGTGTGCATCCCAATCTCGGTGGTTATATCTACGGTTGTCCCGACTTTGTGTCCTGGTTGTGCATTAAATGCCACTCAGCCAGCCGGCTTTAGTTTCACTCATTTTCCGGGGCACGGCAGGCGTATATGGCATGGCATTGGAGGGCGGTGGTCGGAAAAGCGCGAAAATGGAGCTGCATACTTTTCCGGCAGTGCGCTCCACTTGGCGTGCGGCATGCCACATCGCTGGATGGCAATGCAACGAACCAACAGCCCCGACATGGAGGTTGATGATGGCGCTGGTGATGTTCATGATGACGACGATGATGATGCTGATGCCATAGTGTTGCGTCATGTAAAAGATAAACAAGTCGACATTTTGACAACCTAGACAAAAAAACCGAGAAGAGAAAAAAACTGAAATCCACAACAAAATGAAAGAAGACAACAGGGACGGCGGTGGATAAACAAGATGGAAGCCCAGAGAGTCCCGCAGACAATGGATGATGATGTCGTTGCGAGGACTCCATGAAAGTCGCCCATCAAATAATCGAAATCAACTTTCAACTTCAAACTTTGGGGTCCTGCAATTTATATGCAAATTTCATTAAGAAAAATGCGGATGGTAGACGCTGGATGGACGTAAAATATCCGCTAGTGCTGGAATCCGCCGCGAGCTTAGCCAGAGCCATCAACTGGGTCCTTTCCATCCTTCTGGCCCCTCGGTGGCCTTCCTTGAAAGTAATTGAAACAAGAAATATGCATTTGACCAGAACTCCCGCCTCTCAACACGCCCCAACTTGGTTCTTTGGCGCGACTCGACTAATGTAATTTAAAATGGACGAGTGGCAAATTACTCGGACATTGCGGACATTCCGCACCCTCGACACCCTTGCCACAACTGCCACAGCCCTCAAGACTCGACGACAGGACGAGCTAAATAGGAAGAAAAAAAATACGCAAATTACCCCAAATCCCTTAAAAAAAATGAAGACGCGGAAAAAATTGTTTAAATAAATTGTGTGGGAGTTGCGTAAATTTGTTGTTGTTTTTTTTTGTCTTTGTTTGGTTTGGTTTTACCCGGCCAGGATTGGCCAGGATTAATTTGTTATTCAAATTTATTTGGAAAAAAATGGTTAATTGGAGGGTAGAGTGAGAACTGGAAGACACAACTAAATATGATGAAAGATATACCAAAGAATATGGAATAAAAACAAATAATTCTTAGTTATTCTCTTAATAGGCTTACTAGCAATACATTCTCTAACATTTAATATAATTCTTATATTTCTTGTAATACCTCATATTTCTAGTTCTCAGTTCTGTCTTTTAATCTCCCAAAAAGCAAACGAACAATTTCAATAAAAAATGCCAGTTTTATTTTCTTTGGCACTTCAGACTCTCAAGTATCTCAATTTTATTATTCTATTAAATACGCTAGCATCTCTATTTTGATTTCATTTTGCCTTCCAAAATTACCATTTAGCTATTTCTGAAGCACACTCTGAAGCACAGTGCTCTACTGCTACTGCTCTGTCAGACTTTTCATATTTCTATCACATTTTTGTGTTTGTGCAGCAATCGTTGAAGAGGAAACTTGCTCAACTTTCTGCCAGAAAGTGTTGCATGAATTTGAATCTGAATGCTTCAATATAATTGCAGATTATACGCCAAGCAACCACGCCCACTCTTCCCACCCAAAAATCTGTTGCAAACATGGCAACCTCTGTTGCATGGCAACCTCTGTACTTTGGCATTCCCACTCGGCTTTGATGGTCTCATTTTTCCGGCCACAGCCTCTCGATCATAGCGAAGTTGCACGGCTTGTGTGCGCTTTTCTCGTGTTTAATGTTTTACGATGTACTCGACAAAAAACACAAAAATCAACCGAAAAATGTGAAAAATATGTATGGCTAAAGAGAACACTTCAATTTTTGTTTAAATGCCAATAAAACTGTCATCAAAAAGTTGTTAAGTAATGAAACATTGAAAATAAATGTGTGCGTGGGGGAGGTTTGCCTTTTTTCTTCCAAATATTTTTTGTGTTATTTTTTCTCAGATTCCCCCACCCGTTGGGACAAACTTTTGCCTCTGGAAATTGTTCAAGAATTAATAGCTGAAGTGCAGCATCCTACGGAATGGTCTATGGGTGGCACTGTGGCACTGGGGGCAGGGCACTTGCTGGTACAATTTAAGCTGCTGCCACCCCGTCCACCACATTGTTGCACATTTACTTTTTGCAGCATATCAAGTTGAACGCACAAGTTTTCAATATTTTTTTCCCTGACTGAGGGCACAGGAAAAAAATCTGTAAAAATGTATTTAAATAATTTAAAGTATATATTTCATGAAAATGTTAATGTCATAATTAATAATAGTTAATGTGGAATTAATTACTTTGATTATCAAATGGAGTTGATGAGGCTATTAATATATAATGTTCCTAGAAAATGGGTCACTAATGATGTAGTGCCACAAAAATAATAATTTTTATTAAGATTTCCTCTATTTTATACTATTTTTGAAATTATTTTAATAAATATACTTTTTTAATATTTTATTCGAGTGCTTTCTTTACGTCTCGTTATTGTTGTTAAAAAAGTTTTTCCCCTCTCATAATTCCCAATTGCTCTTTTGTTCAATTGTAAATCTGCCAAGGGTGCGGGGTGTAGGGATAAGGGAAGGTGGGGCAGGGTCTAGGGGGTGGTGGCAACCACCATTCCGTGTCCGCAGTTGTTTTACGCAACATTTACTGTGGCATTGGACTCATCTTCGGCTGCTGAAGAGGAGCCAGATGGGGCGGGAACGGACACCCACACCTCCGGCAGCTCTCGGACTTGAACTCTCTCGTGTACTTTTGGACTCAAACGTCTGTTTTACGCTAATTGGAAAAGTTGCAAGTTTTTTGGCCTGTTTTTTAGAGCGAAGAGCATCGCAAGGCGGCTGGGTGGTAGGGACGTTATATGTACGAGTACGAGAGTAGGCCTGGTGCGGTGTGTGGCTTTTATTGGAGGCAAATTGCTTAGAGCGATGCTTATTAGCAGCTGACACGGTCGCCTCATCATCAAAGTTGTGGCCTAAACTGCTCAAGAAGCTCAAATAAAAATACGAGCTTAAAATAAGCGCAAGTCAAGCGGCGGGAATTTCATACTTTTAAATTGGCCATTAGCCTGGCTGGGATGTGAGGCGGGCAGGAGGCTGTCAGAAGGAAATCTCGGCAAAGCCAGCCCCTCTAGGATCAACATAAGCCCCTGCATCCTGCTCTTTATTTGTAATTATAATAAACTAAAATGACTTTATATTTTGAAGGATGTTTTTGCATCCGCTGTTTGCTCTCATCGCGCGCCATCATCATCAAGAGTGCTTTGTTTCGTTGGCGTTTATGCGGTAGGACTAGATTGTGAAAATGGGTGATTGTGAATATGCTAGAGAGATAAGTGACGAAAATTGGGTAACTAAATTAATAAGTAAAAACTTAAAAATAAAATTATTATTAGTGAAAATTAACTTATAAAATATTAAAGCATAAGAAGAAGCATAAAGAAAATAAATGTTTGCCTCAAACTGAATAAACAATCCAAAAACACAACCATACTTAGAATAATAAAATAATAACAGTTTTCTTAAAAATCTAAATCTAAAAGTAGACCCCCTAGAACCTCCTTTAGCGGGCCTTGTAATATTTATAATTTGAGCCTTGGATTTCCTTAGCCGAAATAATAATGGGAAATTCTCCCACCAAAACGCGGTGTAAGAACCCACAAAATATTCCCTCGCATAAACCCGAATTTGGCGAATTTATTTCGTGTCCTTTGGCTGTGTTCGCCGATAACTTTGCCTTCCAGGCTCTATATTCCCACAGCGCATGCTCTATGAGAGGATATAGGGGGAAATTGTTTGGTAGGGAGCCCGACGTATCCTTCTAACTGGCAAAAGGTCTATGCAGCGGCAAGCTAGTTCAGTCTCTTGGCTTAAATGGCCGCGTGCGGCAGACAAAAGCGCATGAAAAATTCATAAGAATTTGTCGGTCCGTAAGAAGGCATTCTCGACCAACGTTCGTCAACGTCAGGCAGCGACAACAGCAATAACATCATATAGCATATAGGCTAGCCTTAAACGTCTATCGTTAGGTGTAACGAGGTGTGTTCCAGTGTGTGTGTGTGTGTTAGCCGTGTGCCTTGATGTCCTCTGTTGTGCTGTGTTAGTGCCGTTGTTATAAAAACAACAAAAAATTGAATGCCAAATTGAAAGTGGTTGACAGGCAACTGAAAAAACAACAACGACAAGAGCAATAACGTCAAGTGTCCTTTTGGCCAAGGCAAAGTGAAAGCAATACTCACCCGAAAAAGTAGAGAAAATATATGTTGTGGCACAAAACAACACAAAAACAATACAGCAACACTCAACTGCGGCAAATAGGCAAAAGTTTATTATTATTCCATTGATTTCAAGGCAAATCAACTGCGCAACAATTTCGGAATTTTTAGATGAAAGTACAAGAGTAGGGGCAGGAGCAGGAGCAGGAGTAGTGGAGTAGGTTAGGGTCCCGACAATTGACATGATGGAGTAGTTTTTGTGGAGGGGCTCCTTGTACATTAAACGTTTAAATACAAATTAGTTGGGCATGTGTTCTACAACAAATTTGATTTCACTCCTCATCCCCGATGATGTCCTTTGAGCGGAAATTTCAACAACTTTTTGCCACATGGCATTCTTTTGGGGATTCGTTGAAATTAATTTCGGAAGTTTTTCCTTTTTTTTGTTACGAAAATTTTAGCTTTGCTTCACTCTGCTCGGCTCTGTTCTGTTCTGCTCTGTTTTGTGGTTCTGGTCGCGAGTTCATTTTCCAGTCTCTGATTTTGGCCATGACCACACGTTTGGTTAATTAAGCCGCTGAAGTCATTTGGCTGAGAGCCGGATCTGAAGCTGATCAAGTTGCTGATGATTAAAATCAAATATATATGACACAATCAAGACGGAGCGAGAGCAGGGGCAGGGCCAAGTTAAATGAGAAAACTTTAATTGGAATGAAAACTTTCCTTAGAACCTGAAAACAACTTAAGTTTACCTTATTTTCAAAAATTAGATTTTAATTAAAGGACTGCTACTTTGAAGGTTTAATTATGAACTCGCAGCTTATGGAGGAGAGCACTTTATTAATCAATTTTCGTCTTGATTTAGATTTAAACTGTTCATCGCTACCTTATTCTGCCATTTTATTAATTTATGGCCAAATTCATTTAACGATTTCTTGGGGCACTGAAAAGTAGGCAATGCAAATGAAATTTTAATGAAATTAGACTGGCCGGGATACCGATTTCCGAAACAACTTTTCAATTGTAAAACGCCAATTCAGAGCCCCCTCGCTGGGGCTCGCAAATAGGTCTAAGGGTGTGGGGGAATGGGGCCTCTAGTTTATGGCTTTTTAATCATTTAACAACGCCCTTGCTTTTTGCAGCCAACATGCAAATTGCCTGCGCTGGACCCACGCCCGGACCCCAGGATCAGAATCCGTATCCGTACCAGAACCAGAAACAGTACGAGTACCAGGACGAGGCCCAATACCAGCACCAGCACCAGTACGAACATCGTCATCATCATCGGGTGTAGAAGAACCAACAGGGGCACAATAAAAATTGCCTATAAATGGGCGGAAGAGCCAAAGGCTGGGAGCAGTCGGTGATGGTGGAGGATATACGCACAAGGACAACAACGGTGGCAGGCAAACAGCACAACAAAGCCAAACTTCCGCATAGGATGCGCCAGAACGGAAGTTATTTTGGCCGCCTGAACGTGAGCGCGCTGCTCATCTACTTGGGCTGCTATCTGCTCCTGATAATGGCAGCATCTGGCGGCAGCAACAATGTGGTAAATGGCCTCAAATGCTACTGCAATCCGAAGGAGTGCGACGTAATACATTCACCGGACTGCCCAGGCAAAGGACTTATGCTCTGGGATCCCTGCAAGTAAGTAGTACGGCTGCTGGCAAGCACGGAAGCTCTACGCCAATTAAAATGATATTTTCTGGTTTTATGGAAACCACTGGGGTCTGCCACATGAATATATCATTATCCCGCATGTTGGTTAAATTTATATTGGATTTTATTTTATTAAGGGCGAACCTTGCTGGTGGCTTTCAGAAATACATATATTCTTAATAGTTCTAAAGCCCGAGGATTTTTCCACTACTTAATTTCGCCTGGAAAAATGTACTTATTTAATAATAATTAATTTAACAACAAAAGCTCCACATCGTAATTGAACTCTCTGGATTAAATTATAAACTCAAGAAATCAATTAAAATAAATTGTCTGTTTGTGGCGGTTTTTAGCTGCCAAAGGGGACATATTTTATTTTATTTCCAATTTGGCAAAATTGAATATCATTTTTACATTTTTAATTATTTGTGGCTTGATGAAATATTATACAATAATTATTTAGACAAAGCTACCTGACATTCGTTGTAGACTAACTAATTAAAATCATAAATTCCTTTGTCGAGTTCATTTGTCTATGTTAGATATTAATAATAATTATAGCAATAAAAAGAGATTTTTTTTCAACATGTGAAAGAACATAATTAGATAGTCTACATTTTCATAATTATTCAGTGAAAAAACACTTCTATTTTTACAAATTAAAATGCTAATAAAAATTCTCAGTATATGAGGGCTGGAATAAAAGAAAAAAAATCACACTTTTTCAACTCTATTATCCAACTAATTGGCAATGATATAATTAAGCGAGTCAGACGTCAAACTGTCTCTCTTCTATATTCCAATCTAATTCAAATCGTGAGTCACGTACTGCTTAAGAATTCAGATCAGGCCAAGACACAGCCACCTACACCTAAGCCAGACTAGAGAGTGTTAACTAATTGTTAACGCTTATCGAATCCAAGACGGAATCGAATCAATTACTACTGGGATTCATTTGGCCTCCATTTGGTGGATTCGTGGATTATACTCATATACATATCCGGTCGTTTTGTCCAACTATTCGCAGATGTTGCCGCATATGCGCCAAAACGCTGGGCGAGTCCTGCGGCGGTCCGGGCGGATTTTCCGGTCAATGTGAGCCGCCCCTGCAGTGTGTGACCAAACTGCCCATTAGCAGCGGACTGGGCGTATGTATGGGTAAGTTGTTACAGATACACATGAAACTATAATACACTCAGAGAAAATATATTCTCCAAATGAAAATAAAACTCTATTTGCAATTCAATTGAAAACAAAAATACACATTTTCAAATTCAGTTTATGTTTATGTTTTTATTTTTGGTCTGCTGAATAAAAACACAAAGGCTTGGCTTTTGCTTGGGAATTGTTTAACGAACAATATTGATTTTATTTCCTGTGCATTTTTATACAAGGGCATATAGAGATAGAGGACACATTGGGCGTGTTATGGATAGGCAGAATTCGTATTTAGTCGCATCCATTATGCATTAACATCACGTATTATAGACCACACTGCCGTCGATTAATAGTTCCACAACCGGTCCGGTGCTCGTCAGCAATTTAGTTCGCACTTGCCATTTGGCCTGGGGCACTCCTGGCGGGAATTCGTCGGCCAGGAATGTGTAGTTTCGGATCTCGAACAGTTTTCCCTGCATAATTTGATGGCATCAGTTTGGTTTTTGTATGTAAATGTTTGGGGAATTAATGCGGCCGAAATAGACTGGGACTTTATGTATTTTGTTTCACAAAATTGAACACGGCCAAATGGGAAATGGAAAATGGAAAATACTAAATGAAATAACTGCAAAACGTTGTCCAAATTTAACTAGTTTGGCTCGACGAGTGCCACAACACGAAATGTTGACAAATATTTGCTTTTATTTATTGAAAGTTGTTTCCCAGAAGGGAAAAATTTGTCTCCACTCCCCCAACTACTAGAGTGGAGGTGGGAGGATAAAGTTTTGCTATCAAGAGTATCTATCTAGATAGGTAGAAGGTACAAAGCAAACGGAAGTTCTATTTCATTAAATTGGTTTCTCCCCGCTTGTTGTCATCGCAAGCTTATTGATTCTCTTTCAATTTTGATAACTTTTTTCAAAAAACCAGAGCAAAGCTTTGGGATTAGCTTTGTAGTTGATTTAAGACTTTATAACTATAATATTATTTTAGACTCACCTTAACCACCGGACATGAAGTAGGAAGATTGCTGACTGCCTTGAATCGAGCAAAAAGTCGGCCCAGAATATTATTGTACATCGAGCTGAGATACTTGCAACCATCCATTTTGAACTCTGCCACACTCATGCGGCTATTGTCCTTTTTTATCAAATCGAATGTGGCATTTATATTAAACTTATCAATGTCCTCCTTTAATATAAAACGAGATGATACCACGGGTATGCGTTTGCGAACAATTTCGCACTCCAACAGACTGACATACTGAGGTTGCATTATCCGGCAGTCCAGTTTGCTTATATTGATGTCATAGTTTCTCTATTGAATGGGAATCGGTTGAAAAATTTAGGCTAAAGTCCAACCAACAAACCTTCGCCAGTCCCAGTTGAATGGGCAAAAATAGTAGGGAAATAATCCAAAACCGGGTGTACATTATAGTTGACCAAACTAAGCGGAAAAATGGAAATGGTCGCGCTTTATATAGGCTGATACTAATTTAAATTAAACGTCATAATAATCGCTGCTAATGCGCCAAGAATCAAAGTTCATTTTCGGCCTTAATGACCATTAAATATGCAGATTAAAACGTAATCTATGTGGTGTTAATAACTCTGTTTTGTGGTGCAGACTTGCAGCACTTGACCGCCCTGACCTACAGCCAACGCAATAATTGCACTGACAGCGAATCGATTGTCCTGCAGCCAGGATGCGAGATCACAAACAAACGCTGCCAGTGCTGGCCCACCATGCGCACCTGTCGCAGCGACTTCACCGGCGACGGCGGCTCCCCCAGCGAATCCCGTTGGCATTTCAAAAACCTACAGGTAACTGCTGCAATATAGCGTCCTCCCGTGTACGTGTGTGTTAATAATTGGATTTTCGTTTGGCCTGCAGGAGTGCCAGTTGAATTTGCAAAACCTTATTAAGCTCGAACTGGAATTCGATGAAGACTACAAAATCTCACCGAGCAAATTTTCATACAAAAAGTTGCGCAGAAAGCGGAAATCTCTAAGAAAACGCATGTGAGTATGTTATATTCTAATGTTTTAGGGTTGATATTTAAGATATGTATTTTTAAAAAGATTTTTAATAAAAACGATAAGGGATAAGGGATAAGCTCCTCAAAAGAATAATAAATGAAAAGGAAACCATTCACAAAATTAAAAAAAAATTTAATAAATATTAGTATTAATTAATAATTATAAAAATTATCTCCACAATTCATTTAAGGTATTCCGCTTAAGAATATGATTATTACTCCCCAAGATATAGCCTTCGCTGAGGGCCATATAGGGCTTCCAAGCAATTTCCCCATTTCCGGATGGGACCCCCCAGAAAATTTGACAAAAAATCTAAAAAATATTTTGTTTCCAGATTTTGATGCAGTTCGATGGAGAATCGATCCAGAAATCATTTAAGCTATTCCGCTTGAGAATCTGATCAAAAATGGCCAAGATATAGTTATCGCTGTGGGCCATATAGGGCTTCCAAGCAATTTCCCCATTTCCGGATGGGACTCCCCAGAAAATTTGACAAAAAATCTAAAAAATATTTTGTTTCCAGATTTTGATGCAGTTTGATGGAGAATCGATCCAGAAATCGTTTAAGATATTCCGCTAGAGAATCTGATCAAAATTGGACAAGATATTGATATTGCTGGGGGCCATATTGGTCATATAGTGAATCTATGCATTTTTGTAGCTTTTTTTTTATGGGAAGCTTCAAGGAACTATATAATTTAATTATAATTAAAAATGTATTCATCTTTTCTTTCAGAATCATCTAGGTTTGAGGCATCAACCTGCCATTGAAGTCGCAGCCTCTTTCTCATCTCTTACTTATTGAAAAAAGAAAAAAAAATAACAAAAACATATGGAAAATCTTGTACAGATAGTATGCTTACTTCTAAATAATAATATGGCTAATATAAAATATGAGAAATACAAATACATATACAAGAGGAAAAGAACATATGATAAATAAATGAAATATTGTATGTATCCTAAGACATTTGTTACTTTATTGTTTTTAGAGTGCGCATACGTATGTATAAATTTGCAATTTCTATTCCTAACGCCAAAACATAAGAGTCAAGCCCAAATATACAAACAATAAAATAAAAGCATTTAAAAAATGTTGATGCTTTGAAAACGAAAATATTTAAAATGTGCAAAATGTTAAGCCAAGCCATTCAATAAACAATAAACAATAATGCCGAATGACAAATTTTTGCTGTAATGAAAAAGCATCTGAAATATATAAATGGCCAGAAATTTCAGTGTTTGTTTTTTAATGATATTTTAGGGGGGTTTTAATGAAAATATTTGAAAATGTTTTAAATATGGCCGAGGTAACAGTTGCTCATAATGGCGTTAACAGTGTTTGTCGTATTGCGTCTAACAGCACAGGCCTCTGTTAAGCCATAACATTTCTATTTACTATAGCATACTTTAAACAGTTAGATTACAGAGTCCTTTGGTTAAGAGGCCCCTAAATGTATGCTACATATTTTAGCAACGTTAAAAGGATTTTTGTTAAAAATTTTTGGGTAGGGTTTCATTTATTAAATTCGTTGTTATATAAATGCCCTCTTGTCTGTCATTTTTTGTCTTCAGAACTACTATTCGAACTGAACAAGACGCCGTAACAATAGTGAGGGCTCAACAAAAAAAAATAAACCTTTCTGCCCCAAAAAAAACGACCATCAACGGCAGTCGAGTGGGGTCAGTTCTTCAAAAGATCAAAGATACACTTTGGCGGTTAAGTGTTTTCCCGCCGCTCTCCAGCACCATCGGCACCTATCACTTCAAGGAGTTTCAGTTTTGAGTTCGAGCTCGAGTTATGTTTCGCTTTTTCAATTGAGTTGTTATATTTTATTTGATGTGGTGTGGTGTGCACCTTAGTGGAGCAAACAAAAGCAATTAGACGGCGTCATCTGACAGCCTCAATGGAATAGTTTTCGAGCCGAATGCCTCTACGTTGGAATGCCTCTGATGGGATCGGATCTGATCCGATGTCCAACTGTCAATGAGGGGGGAGTGGGTCTCGAGAGGGGGCCACTGTGTCCAGGGGCAGAACAATAGGGTTCAAGTGCGGAGGAGTGAGGTGTTAAAAATTCTACTCTTTATGCTCTTATTATGATTTGGTTCGCTTGATGGACATATACGATATGAAAAATTTCAGAGTCAGAGTCAGAGTCCGAGTGGGTCTATGGGGCCGGCCGGGCCATTCGGGTATATCTTTTGTCTCACTTGTTTGACAAGCGATGCGTACAAATCAAAGCAGGAATCCAGAGTTGGGCCCCGGAGCTCTCCGAGTCGTCTGTTGTTTGATTAATAGCCGCACAATTGATATGTTAAGTGGTAAATTACGCCATTGGCACGCAAATGTATCTTCAAGATACATGCGTTAGTGTGTGGACAAAATAAAATAGAAGAAATACAAAAAACGGGCAAATTGTTGTTTGTTTAAGGCGCCGCTATGAATCGAGATAAATATCTTGAATTTTTTTGTTGAGGAGCTCTGGCAAGGCGGAGCCTAAAGTGCGTAAAGTGATTTAATTTTGAATGGACGTCGGAGAAAGTTTATCAAACACACTCACTCCAATACAATTATTCAATTATTTGCTTGACTTTTTCCCCTTTAATATAATATATTTTTAGGTATTGGCCCCTCTTTTGAAAGAAAAGCTTTGCTAACCAGCCACCAAGGTTCGTTGGCTTAAATTAAAACCCATTAGTCTACTTTTAACACGCTTTCAGGGAGTCTCTTAGGCCTGTAGTATTTTTTTATGGTCCCGTTTATATGTTTAAATAAAACCGAACAACACAAACCGATCTGAGCCGATCCGAGGCAAACAAAAAATCCATTAAAGCCTTTTTGTATATTAGAAAAGCGAAACAATGGGGAGGGAGTTCGATTGATGTCATTAAATTTTTGCCACGCCATAAAATTCATCGAGTTTTTTGTTGTTTTATTGAAAAACCGCCATAGAAGTGTTATAAAAATCATTTAAAAGTCCGAGATTGCCGTAGATTTGATTGTTTTTTTTGTTCGTATTTATTTATTTGTTTGTGTTTTTTCGGTTTTTGTTTTTAGTGCACGAACTCCTCGCGCTCATGCTCAACTAAAATGATTTAATTCCGAAACGTGCCTTGCAAATTTTATGATCAATTTTCACTTTAAATATAGATTGAATGCCTTTGGTGAATTATTTAAATGTGTCTCTGCCTTATTTTATTTTTTATTGGTTCTTTTGTTTTTTTGTATTTTTTTTTAACTTGCTTCGGATATCATGTGACGAAGGTGGATTTTTATTTTTTATTTTTGGAATGCTTCAGGGAAGGGGTAGAAGCTTTTCGATGATTGGCAATGGGATTTTGAATTTTAGAAGTTTTATGGTTTTGATTTACGATATTTTAATAGATAAGTGATTTATTGAGGGTAAAACAAAATGGTTATGGCTTGGAATTCCAAATTTGCAAAAGACTTTTTTTTGGAGAACTATAAACCATGTTCTTATAGGTTTTTTGAATTGGAAGAATTGCTTTGTATTATCGTAGAACAATATTAACAAATACTAGATCCTATTATTTCGCTCTATTTTTTCCATTTAGTAGTAATTTAGTTCATCTACAACTCCAATAAAAATAAATCTTCGTCGGCTCGTTTGGCTCTATTATTCGATTGCCGATTGTTTCCCCATCAAAGCTGATAGAGTTGGCTTCATTTCCATTTCTATTGAGGCGTTGATCTCTGGTCGGTTTGTTTGCCTCATAAATAAACTGTGGCAAATGCTCTAAGCCAACTGGACTGAAGCCCCCATAAATTATGTGGCGAAAAGCACCAACTGGAGAGGCCACTGTGGTTGTTGTGTCATTTTCTTGGCGCGCTTAATAAACTACACACACTTTATGCGAAGCTCCTTGCCGTGGTGGCTGTTGTTGGGCCTGCCGATTGCTGTTATATGATTTCATATATCATCAGATCCATGGAGGATCCCACCACCTTCCCAATCCCCTCTTCTTCAAGTTTATTTAAGTCTTTTTTTTATATTTTTCTGAACTTGGTTTGTTCAACATGCGCAGGCGTGCGGCATTTAGTTCAGCCTGTCGACTCTGTCCTTTTCCTTTCCTCTTCAGACCCTTCAGATTCAGATTCTTGGTCCTGTTCTCCTTCAGCTTGTTTGTATAAATATATATATATATGTTTTTTTTTGTTTGATAACATTTTATTGTCCGCTTTATAAATTATTGGCGTTTGCTGGCCTGGGCTGGGAGCGTCATCGGGATCGCAGAATCGGGGCAAAAAGTATCCTTTTACGTTCAACAGTTTTTGGTATGCAACATGTGTCCAAATTTGTGCAGCGGACAAATAAATACTATGGTATAAGGAAAAATTACTAATAATACCCTGTAAGGGGTACGTTTTTTATACATTTTGGGAATAGACTTTTAATATTAATTTTATTTAAGAAATGTTAGAAGAAGTAGTTCAGAGAATCTTCTTTTATAAACTTGTAGTGCCGTCTTAATCATAATTTTAAAATACCTCACTGGGTATTATTCTATTCCATCACTATATTTTTAGATACCCTGAAAAGACTACTTGATTTTATAATTTTTCCTCATTTTTTTAGCTGGCCGCTGAGTCTGCGCGTGTTTTGGCCTTTTAGGGCGCCTTGGCCCTAAAACAGACAATTGAGTGTAGTGTGAAAGTTGCTTTAAATACTCTCGGTATCGGTATCCCGGGCTCCGAAGGCGATGACGCTGACCACTTCCGATGGGGAGGGGAGTGCTGTCCCGGGAGGAGGCTGCCACCAAATCAAACCATTTATGTCTGGCTCATGCGACACATTTATCATCGTCAAGTGACGGACAATGGCCGAGTAACAAAACGCGCCTGCACCTGTCTGCTGGTGGCTCAGAAAGGTGGGAAAGGGGGCCAACCGATCTTTAATTATACATTATACAAGAGGCACACCCGCTGGGCCGTACGGGGTGCCATCAGTGGCCAAAGTCTTCTAACTGGAGCCCAGAGCTAATGAGCTAAGCGATCTTACACTGCAAATTTAACGAGGGCAATGGGATCTCTGTCTGGTATCTGGTATCTGTGGCATCCCATTGTATCCCTACATATCTGTACCTATATCGGGTTGCCGGAGGAGCGAGGCGCATTGATCAATCGAAATGATATAATTATGGCCAGGACCAGGACCTAAAGGGCAGCTCTGTGTAAATTGATATCAACAAATTACGCGAAAATATTTCAAAAATATTAACGAATGTGAATGATATAATGATGAGATGATGGATCTGAATCTGCACTTGGAAAAAAATCTAAAAAGATTATAGAAGTATAAAGATGACAGAAGTTATCTGATACTCGATTTTCCTATTTATTTCTTCAATTTATTTAGCCCTTAATAAATTCTCTATAAAATTAGTCAATCATTTCTTTCAGTGCTTCATACATCACCCTAATTATGCCCAATTTAAAAAGGGTTAATTAAGGCACAAAACGTATTTCGCGTCCTGTGTTCCGCCATGGAGAGCATTATTAATATGCGACATTTTTGATATCTTTTTGCAGCCAAAGTCTCCGAAAAGAGGAGGGCAGATCAGTGCCATGCAGGCACCATAATTACATACAGCATTTGTCATAACACCAGATATGGACATTCGATGCTGTTGCCCAGGGCGCGAAACCTTCCAGCCAGCCAGTGCCGAAGGCAGACAAAAGCAGACGCTTGGGTTTTGGCCAAGATCCGAACTATGCGACAAATGTAAGCGGGCAAAAAATAATCATGGCGATGAAAAAATGATATAAAGAGGCAGGGAAAATTGTAAATATCATCATTGGACGCGGCCAGTGATCGCTGGGCATTTTATAAATAAAACAAAATCATAAATGCAAGCCCCCAGACGCATTGGCAGTCGTCAGTCCTCAGTCTGTTGAATGGATCGGGATCTGCTTGGGTGCTATATAATAATTACAGTCAGCATTCGCAATCGCATTCGCCTTCCGATCCCTGGGACATTGGAATTCGGAGCATTGTGTCATATTTAATACAGAAATTTTAATTAAACATAATTTGTAAGGAGTGCACGTTGATGCATTCAGACCGGACTGCCGGAGATTGCTGGACGACGATAGCCCCCGACTCGGGATCGGAATAGAGTAATTTATGGCATTTTATGGTTAGGCCATAACTTGTCTATCATCCGTAGGAATTTCACTTTGATCGTATCGCAAAGTGTGAGAAGTGGGTTCT